GCGTAAGTGCGAGGGTCTGACATTTTAACCTAGCAGAATCTTTCCCAAAGGCAGCAATATCTGCACGAGTACCTCAAAACAGTCGCCAAAGTCGATGTGGATGATCTTGCCTGACATGCGGTCCAACATCAGGTTTGAGGGATGTCTGCGACGAGAAAAACATGCAAGAATCTGATTTCTAAAAATTTGCGACACCACTGTCCATGCAGAAACCTCTACTAAAGCTAGTTAGATGTCAAAACCATATCTTTGTAATGAACACAGTATTTTCTGGTCAAAATTCCGCAACCAAAAATTCCGATCACTGACTTCTTTGCCAAGATTCTTGCTCTGGGTATTCCTGTCCAGTTTTAAGACCTTTCATTCTAGCCAACATAGATGATATCTTAATTACGGGTTATGCCCGATGACATTAGCAGTGAGGTTTGAATTTCACACCAAGGCAATTATGGGGAAGAAAACATCCGGTTAAAATCAGAAAAATCTATGACAATTTTTCCATTTACAAGCTGCACTGTCCATTCATCTCTTTACCTGTCTCCAAGACCAAGGATGTAGCCCACCATCGACATGACGGCAAGAGATCGCGTGTAGTTGGTTCGTCGCTCAAACCACACCTATTCCAGTGATCCAACAGAAACCAAAAAAACTCAAAGCAGGAGACTCAAAAACGGGAAGTTATTACCAGCAGTCTGGTGGCATGACTTGTGGAAACAGAGATTTGGTACCAGATGTTTCTTTTGGCACACTTCGGTTGTGAGAGTTTTGAAACTCTCAACAGGATGCTGTGAGAACACAAACTTCTATTTACGCACGACCCACACCAGAAAATTTGTCACAAGTGTCCGAGTTAATGTTTGAATTACAGCCTTGAAAACAAATCTGGTATCTGCTGAGTCCTCAGAAGCTTATGGTATTTTGCGCTCAGAGATATCAAATTGAGTGATATGTCAAAAAAAGGAGCTCAGTATGTTCCGATCCAAACTAAAAATACATAAGTTTGAAAAAGTCCTTGAGACTCATTTTGTGAGATCATATGCAGCCCATGGTCAGACGGACATACTGACCTCCGAGCTAGGACTCTTGAGCCACAGAAGTCTAGCCAGGTCATCTCCCTGTGTGTGCTCCAAGGCGTGCTCAAACACTTCCACCTTCTGCATCAGTGTCAGGTGCTCATAGTCTGGCGCCATCTGGGGGGGGTGGCGGCGGCAAAACAAACAAGGCTATTTCAGTAACAAGCATGGCTTCAAAGTTCCTACAGGTACGGTAATGAGATTGGATGTCCATTCAGGCCACGCCTGATAGTTGAGAGTGGCTGTAGACTGAAATAACACATTGGCCTATGAAGGTAACTGGAAACGGGCTGCATTCACTTCCTATAGACCTTTATCACAATGCTGCCATGTTGGTCTTGTTCCCCTTAGACCTACTGGCAATAATAATACAACTTCACGTATTGATAAAAGGGAACAGACTATCTTTCCTTCCAGCCTCAGTTTGGTTACATTGTTTTTAACCACTCTCTTTCTGCCGAACCACTTGATGACATTTGCTCTTGCTGTTTTGTGTGGTACGCTTCACAGTTGTTGACTGCTGTTGTGAGGAGTATGACGTTTTGAAAACCTGAGGGGCACATAGCGCACGAGACGAATCGCAGCGCTCATTATCTCTGTCTTGATGATGTTTTCCACTTGTTTTTCTCAGGGAAACTAAGGGTGACAGGAATGTTTGAACATTAGCGATAATGCGGGTAGCGATGAGCGATTATGTGCGCCCAAGGTTATATCACACAGCGCTAGCTGATAACTAAACGGTACGAGTGACATGCGGTTATGTCCCCCTGTCATGTGATCATTCTGGACCAATGAAAGATCTGTATTCAAGACACAGGTATGACAATACCACATGATGATACAGAAAATGTATGGGATATATCAACTTGAACAGTCCTCAACACTCCGCATTAAATGTACATGTAGTTTCGCCCGCACCAATGAAAGTTAGGGCTAAGATGCTCTTCGGGTTAATCAAATATCAAAAATCAGAAGTGAAACCATGGTGAAACCCGAAGTTCTTACGAAGAGAGACATTTTGTGATGAGGTTGTCTCTGTGCGTGCCTACCCTGAGCATGATGCGGTGCTCGATGTTGAGAAGGATCTTCTTCTTCTTGTCACGGTAGTCTCGGATCAGGGTGTGCAGGGTGTCGCAGTGTCGCAACCAGCCAATCAGGCCCGAGTTGGTGGATAGGGGGATGATGGAGTAGCGCTGGATGCTGCAACGAGACGCAGAAATGAAAACAGGAGTAATGACAGGTGCGCCATCGTTATCATGCGCTTTGAGTTGGTTGGAAAGCTTTGCCAAACGTTCTGAAGCGTGTCCCAAACTTCTCTGGTATATTGTGCGTTTATAAGGGTCGTGATCCTCAACGCCTAGTTGTAATTGGCATAAAAGCGAGCACCTATGCAATTTTGTAATATTTGATCAAATACTCATGTTCCAAATCTGCAAAAGTTGTACACCTTTGAACTCAATCAAATTTCCCTGCAAACAATGGATGACGTCATGCTTGCTTCACTTTTGAATTCGCTTGTCGTTTAAACTAGCCTTCACTCGCAGCTGTGAGACCAAATTACCGAGGATAAACCTACGGTGTGGTCGAGCCGAAGGCACCTAAAGGCACCTCAGGTACATGTAGCTGTCAAACGACCCTTATCTGACTACGGAGCACAGCCAGAGGTCAAAGGCGTCGCAGAGGGAGGAAAACCAGAGAATACGAATAAAACAAAACCTTGCTTCACAGGAGACAGCCAAGGAACAACTCTACTCACACCTGGCCCGGAATGGGAATCGAACCCAGGACCAGAGATGCGAGTGCTTTACACATTCCGACACTACCCTGATGATATCTGTAGCCATGCATTACAAACACTGGTGGAAGGGCAGAAGATATGGTTAGCCTAAAAAAGCAACAGAAACAGGGGTGAAATCTAATTGCCTTGGGGGTTATGACCTCACTATTGTGGAGCCATTAAAGACAAACTTCCCTTTGACTTTCTTAGTATGAGCTTTTCACGTTTTCCCTTTTCTCAATTTTTTCCCCCCAAACTGGACACTTTTTCCCAGGATGCTTTACTCTACAAGCTCCAGCCTCAAGAGACACGACAAAAATATTCACTCCCTCCCCCAAGGGGAAAAACGGACCTCCCCTTGCCTCCAACGACAGCTAAGGGGGGCGAAGATAGATGTTACCGATATGCCTAATGGACGGAAGAAGGAAATCGGGTCTGTAGTCGCCCTCCAAAACAGACTGACCCCAGGTTGTGATCCGTCGACGAAAATAAGTGGGCACAAATAGTATCAATCTGATTTTATCTTCTGGACCACGGCCTTGGTGGACTGCAGGAGTTCTTTTTATTTCGGCAAGAAATTAAAATTAGGTTGTTGATGGGAAAAAAAACAATTTCATATCTAGGTTGTCCACTCTTGTTTAAGACGATTCTCACTGGGGAAAAGGAATTGCAAACACAGGGCTGTTGTGCCTCGGGCAGGTCAACTTACCGCATTAAGACACTGTAATTCTGAAAAATATGATGCATCCTTAAAATTTTGAATTGGCGCCGATGAAAAAAATGTGTAGGACTTGATTTGGGAACCAAAGACAGTCCCGGAAATATCTTGAACATTTCTGAGAGATAACAACAGTTTTAGAGGGACTTTCATGTACACTTTCCCCTTCTTTTCTGAATATCCTCCCCAACTTTGGAATGTTGTTCAACCTCAGAGGTGTGACTTTTAATTTTTCTATTAACTCCCTTCTCATTAAAGTTCTCCAACTTGATAGGGATCTAGAACTGTGCCTTTAAGCTTTTCTTTGCTAACTCTCTTGGAAATCCTGGAAGCATCCACCTCTGGAATCTGAACACAGGGTTATTGCTTACAAAAACAGACAGAACACTATCTACAAAAAAAAAACAACTTGGCAGGACATTCACATTGTGACTAATTAAATCACATCCCTTTAAATGACCACGTAAACGGAAAGGAGCTTCTGCAAAGACAAACCACATCAAGTCCCCAGCCTAGTCTAGGGTCAGAAATCAAAGCCACTATTTCTTTGCTAAGGGCAGCTAGAAATGAGGATCTGAGAGATAAGAAATTGAAGTTCCTCACCACAAACTTTAAGAAGTGGGAAAAGGATTTCATTTCCTGATTTTCCCGTCTCGAGGAAGGAAAACTGCAGCAGAAGTTCACTGGTAACGTGCACGTGGTCTTTCACGGTAAATTTTTGTGAGGTCAGTGGGGTCAATCAGTCCTCACAATTTGTGACTAGATTGATAATGTGCAGTGGTTCGAAACTCCAATTCAATCCCCCAGACTCGTGTCGGACGCAAGTGCGGCTTTTACGGCTTGGTTCGATTTCCCTGTGGTTGACCAAATGTTTGGGACCTTAGGGGGTCAGATTTCCTGTTTTTCAAACAGACCATAATCAGTGCCGGTCCCACCACATGTGCACTCGTCGCTCCTGTCCCATCACTTTTAAGACCTTCTGGATGTTCTGCCTGTGGCGGAGAAGACAGTGAGACACCAGCCTACAAAGTGAATCATCAAAATGAGCCGTGGTCTGTGACTTACTTGAGATGTCTCCTGAAGGTGTCTGGGTTGTTGGCTAGGAGGGTGTTGACCAGGCCAAATAGCTGCATCACCCTCTCATCTTGGCGCAGGTCCTCGTGGCCCTTCAGGAGGTACATATACTCAGCACCGTCACTCCCTGTAGATTGAAATTTTAGGGCGTTCAGACGAGAAAATACATTTGGGAGATATTCGAAAAAGTTTCCAAAATGCAGATATTCCAATTAAAAAATACATTCTCCGACAAACTCTGATGTTAGCTTTTTCAACACACCCAGACACTAAGATGGTTTAGATATTCCTAAAGGAAAACCTTGTGAAACAAATTCAAATCTACAGGTACATATATTTAACCCCTTCGCTAAAGAGGACTGCTACTACCTCACCATCGTGTGAGGATTAGTGCATACCACACATACAGTCTATTCACCATGCAGCTGCTGGTTCAATGGGGCCTGCTGCTGGACAAAGCCGTCCAATCAGGGCATGCCACAGCCCAGCAGTCACGGTCAAAATAATCCCGCCGTGAAGGGGTTAAATAGATCAAGGTATTCAGATATTCAAATCTTCATCTAGAGTGGAAAAAACTTTCACATATCAAATCATATGATTATTACAATATTTAAATGGATCAAAATACTAAGATACTAATTTTTCTCAGATAGACTTTGAAAACAGGAATCTGCCTTCTAAACCTGGTACACCTGACACCCGAGGTTCACGTGCACATAGGTAAAAATCACATTGAAATTGAGGACTGTTAAGGTTAACAACCTGACAGTCGCACATGTACACGTCAGATTGATGTGAGTATCCAAGACAGCTACGACGACCATAATTTTACCAAAGATGCTGAGCTTGCGAGGGCGCTGTTTGGAGGTGATGACCTGCAGGGAGGATTGGACGCGCTGGATGCGTACGATGGGCCGGTTGGGGTTGTAAGTGCCGGGGACGGCCAGCTCCAGGTCCCGGCACATCAGGAGCTTGGGGGAGACCAGCTGGAGCTCAAGCTGGGTCAGCTGTGGAGGGGAAAGATTGATGAGTGTGTCGCTGTGGCCTCGGGTAATGATTTGACATAAAATGCTGGTGTTCTCACGTGAAAACTGATTTCTGTTGCCTGGGTATGTAGCACCGGATAGCATGGTGACTTCAGGCATGATCTCTAGCAAATACAGCACGTGTGGGCCTAGGACTTTCTGAGCAGCCCCTTCCACAAAAGAAATGAATAAACTTAGAAAATGCCAATCTAGAAATGGACACCTTTTGAAAAACTTTCTGATCGACCAACCAGTGGTTGAAAGAAAATGGCAAAGTTTAGTGACAAAGAATAAGGTTGTTAGAGCAGGTGCTTTTTACATTGTACAACTGAATTAAAAAAAAGACTGATCCCTACCTGAGGCAGTTGTTTTGCGATTCGCCTGAACACGTGGTAGTACAGGTCCCAGGCCTGGGTCAGATCCTTGACGTTGCGGGAGCGCGTGTACTTGCGGCACCATTCCTGGGCCTCCATCAGGTCACGCCCATAGGCCTGTCGAGAAATTGTCCAACGAAGAAACAAGTCTGATTATATATAAAATACATGCAATAAAACCACAAGGCACACGTAGATCAGGCAGGAGGGTGCCTTGATGCCTTGGCTATTCGCAAACACAGTGATAAAGGCAGTGATCTGACAGCTGGTCTTTAAAACCAGTGTAGGGTGCCTTTCAAATTGGCAAAGGTGGCGTTCACATCCATGGAGGGCGTTCGTCCCAAATATTATTTTCCAGAGTTGAATATTCCAATGCAAAATTCATAAAAAGGAAGGGAGAATTTTCTTTTGTTTGAAAGGAGAAAAATTGTACTATGGAGGCTTGTTTCAAGCAGATTCAATTCAAAAAGTAAATTATTCAATAAAAAATTTAAAAGGAACATAAATGTTCAACAGGATAAGACGTATTGTTCGTCTCTTAAATCTTACTATTAAAATCGTGGCTGGGGATACTTAGACAGGAGGGGCTAGTATAGAGTTTATAATGTACAATTGTATGCGTTATTGCAACTGATTTTGTATAGAGGTTTTGCATAAGAGCCATTTTTCTGGTAAGAGCTTTTGTTTCACAGGGACACACACGAGTAGACCTTTTTACTATCCCTCCACGACAAAAGCATTTATCAGAAAGATGGCTGCCATGCAGAACCTCTATATGGTTTTGATAATCATCAACAATCTGTCGGTCGGTAAGACCGAATATTCGGATATTTGATCTAACATTAGAATATTCAAATAGTGACTTAATCACTCAGTCCTAGTAGGCTCTTCGCATCCTACCTGGTTGAAGGACGTCTCTTTCATCGTCTGCGGGCCGCGCTCCATCATGGCGTGGAGGGGCTCCAGGACGCCGAACATCCCCTTGACGTTGCGCTCGCCAAAGTAGAGTCGTGATGCTTCCTCTAGGCCTTCGTGCCAGAGCTCGTGCCACAGGATGGCCACACGGATCAGCTCCTCGCTCACCTAATAGGAAAGGGATGACACTCTTTTCATAGGTGCTGTTGTCCTTGTTACAAATCTCGATATCATTATACTGTCTGAGATCTCAGACAAATATTGAAGAGCTGCTAAAGGCAAGTTCAAGCCTAGTTTAGTTAGTTACAGTTTGACAAATGCCTGAATAATAGATCACGGTTTGGGCCGTTGTGGGTAAGACCATTTGGAACCAGGCTCTGGAACCAATTACATGTACATGAAAATAATGGCACGAGACGTCACTGAACACAAATGATGCGATGGTTACACTAACA